CAGGTCATCAGGCTTAAAGTGGGATCTCTTTACTGAAAACTAGGTTGACAGCTTTTTATGTGAGGCCCAGAAAATGCTTAAGGGAGGAATGAAACCCTACCCAAGATCATCTACTTTTAGGTCTATGCCTTGGCCATTGCTGTTTTATTGTAAACCATCTCAACAGGAAAGGGTTATTATGTCTCACCAACTGCAAAGTGTTTGATACCACTAAGTTTTGCAACAATGCAGTTTGGTAGACTTTTTAAACTTTGAATAATTGAATTTATTTTTTAAAAAAAGCCTAAAAATCTCTATGTTGGCAACCTTCTCAGCAAATATTAATTCTACTAGGATTCATACTTCTCAGCTGGTCTGAAGATTTCTGCTTTTGTTATATATGGCTGTAGCCACAATGTGGGTATTGGGAATTGAACCCAGGTCCTTTGGAAGAGTATCATGTACTCTTAACCATGAACCATCTCTCTAGACCCTGGTCAGAGGTTTCAATCAGACTCTTAGGTGAGCAGTTCCTTCTACTTTCCATAGGTTCCTGGTCTTTCTGTCCTTCATCAGTATCACTATATAAAAAATTACAGAGCCATTGATTGATGCTGTAGGATTGATTCTTGAAACTTATTGTTTCTGATTGGAAGTAAAAAATATGGTATTATCTGAAAATTTGAGAGGAAGAGTAATCAACATAACTTGCAATGGGGTATTTGAATTCTTCTTTGAAAATTCAAAGATTGAAAGTCTATACAAACTCACCTTCTTTCCTTTTGTTTATTTTCTTCATATCAGATTCTTTCTGGTCTCAAAATCACTTCTACATACTCTAACTCCTACATATTGTTGGTGCAAAATCACAAGTTTCTTGTCAAAAGAGTAAGGCATGGTTTATTCTGGAGGAAAATACTGGGTCCCAAGTCACAGATATAGGTCACCCCAAATACCATTTTCAAAGGTGGCAGCAGTTTATGAACTTTTTTTATAGAACAAAGTAAGTTGTCAATCAAGACACCTTACGAATACGAATACATAAGGTACATTGGTTACGGCATAAGTGGGAAAACTTTGTTGAAGGTCCCCGATCCTGTCAAATGACATTCTTGGCATTTGGTCTGTGGAAGCAAAAGAGCCTGTTCATACATTCTAAAGGGACTTACCTAATACAAGGCTATTAGGTCATACCTGGGCATGGGTAATAGATGGGTATTGAGGAGGCTAAAGGTAGCTCAAGAGAATTTGTAATTAGGATCTAGATGTGCAACAGTCCAACAACTCCACAATTATTGACTTTCTAATGCTTACTTAGCTTTTATGAGCTAATTAATGTCATTTAGCTTTTATAGGCACAGCTTCTTTTCAGGACCTTTTGTTCACAATATTAACTGCTATTTTTTTTTAAAAAAAACTGTTCATATTCTCTTCAATTATGAAAAATGTCAACCAGCCTTTTGTGAAATTTAAATGGCAATTCGTTCAAATGATACCTTTTAAAAAACAGTTTTTGATTTTCATAAAGCATGTTAAATGTATCCATATTGTACGGTTTTGAGCAAGTTTAATTTGTTAAAAGTTTCATTGCAAAGTATTATTACAGTAGCCACCTTTTGGGACTTAGAATCAGGTATTTAAGCAGAAGTCAACATTACATACTAATGGAATTAATTAGAATGAAATTTTGTGTATATGATGTTTTTCACTACTAGCCTGCCATCTTTGGCCTCTTCCCAGAATGCAACTTAGGAAATTGTCTTAGTGCTAACTGAAGGCTGAGAACAACTTCCTGAAGTGCACTTAATTAACCTGAAGTTTTCATAAACAGCTGTACATGTAGGTTCTGAAAACTGTGAGGATCTGTCAATCTGACCAGTACTGTATGCCCTCCTAATCTTATTACTAAAGCTTAAGACAATAAGAAATTCCAATCCAGTACCTTTTGAGTGAAGCGAGTGCTTAAGGAAGAGTCTGGAAAATCTTACACTAGCCTGTTTCAAAATGGAGACAGTTTGACTCCACTCTGCATCTGTTGGACTAGACGAGTTAGAGTGCTGCCCTTTAAGTTAATCTAAGGGAAAACATTGGCATGTTTTTGGAAAGGGGTCTGTAGGCACACCTGTAGCCAGCCTCTAAGTAGGCGTGGCTACAGCTTCCCCTACAAGGGTCCACTGTTTCCAGCATGTAGCTGCAGTCTGATTTTGCCACAATGTGATGCTGCCAGTGGGTTTTGCCATGTGAAACAGCACATGCAAGGCTAGTGACACAAGTGAGTACAAAGAATACAAAGTTCAAGTAAGGATTTCCTTTTTGAAAATTAATTTTTATTTAAATTAAAAACAATCTTATTTTATATACCAATCTCAGTTCCCTCTCCCTCCTGTCCTCCCATGGCCCCCAACATCCACCCATCCTATCCCCCATCCACTCCTTAGGGAGAGTGAGGCCTCCCCTAAGGGAATCATCAAAGTCTGTCACATCATTTGGAGCAGGACCTAAGGCCATTCCCCATGTATCTATGCTGAGAGAGTATCCCTCCATAGAGAATGGGCTCCAAAAACCCATTCATGCACTAGGGATAAATACTGGTTCCACTGCCAGAGGTCATAGACTGTGCAGGCTCCCCAACTGACACCCACATTCAGGGGGCCTAGTTCGGTTCTATGCTGGTTCCCCAGTGGTCAGACTGGGGTCCATGAGCTCTTAAAATGCACTCAAGAGAAGCAGCTGGCAAGTTCTCAGGAAAAGGATTATGTCTCTGTGAGGGAGAGAGACTTCTTTATACCCTAGGAAAGAGTGACTTATATTTTGTCTTGAGTGCCATCCATGAGAGGTCTTATTCTGGACAGATGGGTCAGCTCCACACTATTTTGGTAAGTTGTAATTTTGTTGGCTCAAGTTGTCTTTCTTGAAAGGGGTGATTGAAAAGTGCACTATTGGTCAGGTGAGTTAGGTTCCAAAGGTAATGCAAAGGACACAGTCAGCAAGACAAAACGCCAACCCAGAGGAGGGGAAAAGATATTCACCAACCCCACATCTGACAGAGGGATGATCGCCAAAATATACAATGAACTCAAGAAGCTAGCCACCAAAACACCAAACAATGCAATTAAAAAGTGGAATACAGAACTAAATAGAGAATTCTCAGCAGAGGAATCTAAAATGGCTGAAAGACACTTGAGAAAGTGCTCAACATCCTTAGCCATCAGGGAAATGCAGCTCAAAACCACTCTGAGATACCATGTTACTCCTATTAGAATGGCTAAAATCAATAACACCAATGACAGTCTATGATGGAGAGGATGTGGAGAAAGAGAAACACTCCTCCATTGCTGGTGGGAGTGCAAAATTGCACAACCACTTTGGAAATCAGTATGGTGGTTTCTCAGGAAAATGGGAATCAATCTACCACAAGATCCAGCAATTCCTCTCTTGGGCATATACCCAAATAATGCATACTGATACAATAAGGACATTGTGTTCAACCATGTTCATAGCAGTATTGTTTGTAACAGCCAGAACCTGGAAGCAACCTAGATGACCCTTAACTGAAGAATGGATAGAGAAAATGTGGTACATTTACACAATGGAGTACTACTCAGCAGAAAAAAAAAAAACAAAAAACAATGGAACCTTGAAATTTGCAG